GACGCTACAACATATAGGTCAGATCGGAGCAATCCTTTTAACCATACAGTAGCGTATCGAAGATTTTGATTGGGTGGGTGTGTTGAAGGGGTGGGGGTGCCCCTGTGCCCCTTTACGGAACTAGAGAACACTAGTCATGCTGGAGGCCTCCCCTGGAAAATTTATAATGTAGGAAACAACAGGATACCGCTATTTTGGAAGTGAAAGTCGAATATATTTTTCATCTTTTATGGCCCTAGGCTAAATAGGTCAGTGCATCCATGATACAAGTGAGTTTCAACCAGCAACAACAGTTACAGTTACTGACAACACTAACAACTGAATGGGTCAAAACCAGTCGATAAATATCTTGTAAGTGTCGACGGTCAGTCGAAACAAGTCGATAAAATCTTTGTATGATATATGGTCAGTTGTATAGGATCGATATTGGAAGATCATTATAGAGAGTATTTAAGTGTCATTTTATTATAAACCTGTTAAGAAAGACTTTATACACACTAAAACTAGAGCTGGCATGAAAGTAGACCGAAGCATCTGCCTCTGATAGATATTTTGAAAGTTGTCGACTGGTGTAGCTGATAACTGTCAAAATAGCTATCAGAGGCTGGAATCACTAGCTCAGCTAGAGGACTTGGGCCCGTGGATTAAAGTGGGTTGGGGCTCATCCTCCGGTAAATGATTTTTAACATTTGCTCTCCTGCATTCTGAAACTCCCCCTGTAAGTTAATTTATAGGGGCATTTCGCCTTTTTTATTCTTTGCTGAAATTTGTGAAAACTATACCCCAAAATCTAGAGAAATGTGCCCTTTAAAGATGGGTTCCCATATTTTCATTTATGAAAATGAAAATGCTAATACTTATTTGAATAGTAAGTAGAGGTGTTCTAGTGACTTGGAAAAATACCAGTTTGTCTAAGATGCCCATAATTAATTCATAATTAGCTAAATAAGAAGAGAATTACAATGAGTGACCAATCAAGAAAGGTCAAACAGTCTTTTTTTGTTTATCCAGACAGTACATTTAAGATTGGTTAAATCTCATAATTATATGCAATAAGAACATAATGATTATGATTAAAAATACATGGTATTTCATTTCAAACATAAATTAATCAAATAGTTTGCTTAATTTGACACTAAGAATTAAGGAAACCCATATTTAATGTATATGAAAGTTATAACTAAAAAATAAGGTTGTGTAGTTTGGAAGCTGTTAGAAAACTTCTGATACGGATTTCTGTAAGGGAAAAAGAGGGTAATTCAAGACAGGTAAGTCAGGTTTCTAGGACAATGAAAATGTGTCAATTGAAGGGAGACAACCCCTTATAAAGGTATTAATCAGACTACTATTAATGTGTAAAAAGATGTTATCAGTAATGTAGCTTTATGAATTCCACTGTTGATCATATTGAATAACTCAAGTAAAAATAAGAATGAATTAAATATATATAGTAGGTTTGTTATTCGTATATTATAAATAGAAATTATAGAAATAATGTTGGACTAAAGTTTACAATTTTACATTATTTATCCATTACGTGTTTGTATCAATTGTATTGATAGTGTTATATTTTCTATCCTTAAAGGGACAGATTCGCCATCTGAAGAGATTGATTTGAATATTGAATATATGTAAGTAGTCTTCAGAAGAGATGTATGGAGTTGTTTCGATGGCAATATTAATTTCCTTGCAAAACGACAAAATGTATAATGTCGATTTGTGAAAGTACATTTATTTTGTAGAATTATAACTTAAAGAAAATACATTTGTGAAATTGTAAAAAATCAATGACCACGTATAATGACCACGTGATATTCTGCTTGCTATTTGGTATGCAATGTATTCGTATAATATATAGAAACAAATGTCAAACTTAAAGTGTCTATAATAGTTGTGTCAAAATCTAGAACAGTCTCGTCTATCGACACACACCAAATTTGCCCAGGTCAGGCCTTGACTTGTATGTACTGAAAGGGGATGAATATGATGACGTTGGTTTAACCTAATATACACGGATAATAGCGAATAGGATGACTAATCACACTGAACCCAAATTCCCTCAGGTAATGGATGTTTCCAAGCACTGATTGATGTTCAAAACTAAAATGTCTAGGAAGTTAAAAAACCTAAAAAAAAACCTAGTTCAGCTAGGACCATGTGCTACAAGTAAACGATCTCATGGCATCAAATGGTGACCTAAAGCCACGGTTCTCCAAAACTTCCACTTATTGTACACTGCATAGAGCTGTCTGTCTCCATTTCCATAGGTGTAGAAAAGTAGTACGTAAAACTCCACTGCATTCATGAAAATTTTGGCGGTTTGAATGTCACTGTAACCGCCTTTCGTTATAACATAAAGATTGGTATTTTGTAGATGTTCTTTAGAGGGCAGGGCAAAAATCTCATGACTACGTTAAAGATTCGGGCAATCTCAGATATTCAAAAGGTATCCCAACAAAATGTCAGAATATACAGTATAATACATGTACATCTATATATGTACAATCAATTTTAGTGCAAATTAAGAAATCACTAGTATATTGGTCATATATGCTACAAACAATATAAAATAATTGTAACTTAAGTATATAAAATACTAAGTATAAAGAAAAGTGATGCCAAGACTCGCACTCAATAATAAAATCTGATGTTATTCCCTTTGAATCATAACCAGGCCTCATATTCTCGATACGATCTTAGTGCTAGGATGTACTAGGGTCTTATCTTGTACCAATGCTTCTATCACAGCGCCAAGATCATTTCGAGAATAAGTGGCCAGATAAATCTATTTACGAATAGTAGCAATAGTTTCATTTTTGGGCGGCTTCATAGTTCCAAACCCTATAGGAGTCATATTCAATGTGTTACCCTCTGCACAACTAAATGAGAAATTTCTCAATAACATCGCCAATACTAGCAACATTTCTGGTCGGGCGATTGTTTCACCCAGACAATTTCTACGTCCACAAGAGAAAGGTAACCAGGACATGGGTTTAGGAGCCAATGAACCATCTTCATCTAGTAGTCTTTCTGGTCTAAATACCTCAGGATCACCCCAAACATCTTTGTCCATGTGTAAAGCATAATGATTTACCATTACCATTGTACCTTTTGGAATTTCATATTCACCTGTAAAATACACATTAGAAATTGTGTACAGCAAGACTGTAGCTATTGTAGAGGAAATATGTTATAATATCTTTGTACATATTCCGGCTGCAATCACAGACCTTCATTTGTATTTATATACCGATCTTGTAAAGTACCTTTGTTTGATTATGACGGTCATATGCCTGCATGGATCGAATCAACAAATCTTCTCAAAAAGGAAGTGTTTTCTTGCTGATCTAAAACAGTTCTTAGCTGATCTTCAACAGTTGTTTGCTGATCTTCAGCAGTTCTTTGCAGATTTTCAACGGCAGCCATTTGTTGTTGCTTCAAAAGCTCTGTGGAAATCCATAAAAGAGAATTATTACCTAGTGTTGTGTCACATAATGTAGAATGAGGAACACCCAATGGTACGACTGGCATAAATCTCATACTTTCATGTAAAACAGCTTCAGTATAGGGTAATCTTTCTTTATCTGATATAGAAGGTTGTTGGTCTTTGTCTAAGAGAGAGAGAGACAGGATAATGTACGATAATGTACCAGTGGTTATACAGTGAAGGCGGTTATACAGCGGTTATACAGCGGTTATACAGGAGCTATACTGCGGTTATACACGGAAGTACGTCTTTTTATCCTAAATTCAATAGATTCAGAAGAACAATATCATTATTGACGTAATACTTGTATACAAAGATGAAAAAGGTTCAGTCTTGAATGATGCTGGCATTTATGTGTAAAGAAAAAGTACAAAAATAGATTCCTGGTGACACGGCCTGTGGATCATGGTTAGCCTACATACCTAGAACTTGATCGATTTCTTCTTGTGCCTTTTTCTGGATTTCAGGATGTTGAACCAGTAAAAAGATGGCCCAAGTTAAAGTCTGTCTTGTGGTATCAACACCGGCTAAAAAATAAGATATAATTTCAAACATATTCTTCTTTACAAGCATGATGAAGCTGAATCATTTGTTGCACATTCGAGCAAACATGTTTGTAAAATACTCGAGTATAGTCGAGTAAAGATATTTGTGTTATGATCAAGTAAAGATATTTGTGGTTAGCCAAGCAAACAAGTTTGTGAAATAGTCGAGTAAAGATATTTGTATTAAGATCAAGTAAGGATATATGATTTATAGCCGAGTAAAGATATTTGAGGTATAGTCAAGTAAAGATATTTGTGGTATAGTCAAGTAAAGATATTTGTGGTATAGTCAAGTAAAGATATTTGTGGTATAGTCAAGAAAGCACGTTGGTGAAATAGTCAAGTCAAGATATTTGAGGTAGTGCTTTCCTGAAATGATTTTTGTAGTAGAGTCCTTTGGAGATATTGAGGTATTTTCCTGTCAACATATTTAAATCTGACTAATAAACGTAATTCTGACTAGTAAGGTAAGAATCGCTAGAGAATCGGACTACCTGAAAAGATGTCACTAATGACCTGAGCAACATGAATGTCTGTTATCATCTGTTCTACAGCTGGGTCTTCAGCTATTGCTTCATTTCTAGCATTGATCAGAAAATCTGTAAAATCTTTTATGTCGTCTGAAATACAATCAACAATTCTTTGAATGAAGTCAATATCACGTCTAGCAGGAAATGTCGAACATTCATTATACTAGGCAAAGTAGCCTGTTCTTCTCTTTTTGTCTTCCTGAAAGTTCACTTCCGTGACAAATTAAATTATTGAGCCGAGTTCCTCAGCACACAAGCAACGTCAATAATGCGTGTTTAATGAACACTGAGTAAATAATCATTTCTTTCAACTTTGTCATTCAAAACGGCAGAATTATTCAGAATTATTTTCACCAATACATTTTTTCCGACGAAACTGTCGTTTTGTTTTTAATTTTCTTAAACTTAACCACACTGACACGGTAGAGGTGCGCTATTTCTTTGCTTCGCAGCGGAGGGCACTGTTTGCGACCTGTCCCACACCCCCTCTTAAACGTTCATCCCGGTTGACTTCAATTACGGACAGAAATAGTGTCAGTGTCATTGTGGCTTTACAGACATACCGCTCTGCTATTTGAGTATATGGAGATTCACTTTCAATTTTTACCTTTAGAAAATGTTTTCTTGTGATCTTCGTACTCTTTTTTGATGAATTTGTTAAAATAGTCTAATGCATGTACTATTCTTCGAAACCTTTTTGTGGGCCAATATCGAAGAAGCGGTATAACGTCTTCCCAAAGACCATTTCCAAATTCTTCATTTACAACATTTAACATTTCCAACATGTACAAGAATTCTTTATCATCCACATCAAAACTGAAAATAATCACTCAATATTGTGATTTTAGAAAGAATCAAATATTCAAAGAAACTAAATGGTCGATCGTTAATGTTCGAAATAATTATATAACATATATATTATCATACACTTAAAGATGAGTTCCCTTATTTTCATTTATGAAAATGAAAATGCTAATACTTATATAAATAGAAAGTAGAGGTGTTTTAATAACTTGGAAAAATACCAGTTTGTCTCACATGTCCATACTTAATTCATAATTAGATAAATTAGAAGAGACTTACCAGCATAATTCCAATGAGTGACCGATCAAGAAAGATTAAAAAGTCTTTTTTGTTTATCCAGACGGTACATACATGGACATTTATGATTGGTTAAAAAATATTAATTATATGCAATATGAACATAATGATATGATTAAGAATACATGATGATTCATTAGAAACAACAATTAATCAAATAGTGTGCCTAATTTGACACTAAAAAATAAGGAAACTCATCTTTCAGCATCAAACAGTGAAAAAATAATACACTTCCGGTCATGCGCATTGGTTCATTGCACTTGTTTTTAGGACATGTCTGCACTGAGAACATCCCCTGCAAGTTCACCAAATTCCAAAGTGGACGTAGTATAATATGGTTCAATGATAAAATCCTTAGCATATCAAAATGATCTTGCGTCCAAAAAAAGAACCAAACGACAAAACAACTTTTTTGTTTGTATTGTAAAGATCAAAAAAGTATGGAGTCCCTTAGGCGCAATTTTCCGTACTTTTATGAAATATTTCGTTTTAACGAATTAGTTATTTCGCTATTACGAAATAATTAATTCGTTTAAACGAAATAAGCTATTCGATTAAACGAAATAATTATATTTTATAAAAGTATGGAAAATTGCGCCTTAGGAGCCCCATAAAAAAGCAATAATCCTACACACACCGTTTATGAAAGCAGATTCCATGTAAAAAATTGAATATAAGAAGACTGATGTATTTCTCCATGTCCAATTTTTCTCCTTCTTTTTCTCTGATTATTTTAATCATTTGAGATCCAGCATCATAGAGTTTTTCCCCAAGTTTTTCACCACTGGCAAAGTATCTGAAAGAGAAATTGAAAAATACCTAAAGTTATATGACAATTAGGCAATCTGGCGTTTATTATAAGAAAACATAGTGATTTGAGAAATTCGTATTTATTGAATCATCCTCTGCAGCCATTTGTAATGTTTCCCTCTAACAGTCGTCAAGGTAGACATTATGTCATATCTGAGATACTGTTTCCAAAATGTAAAATGCGGTGAAATATTTTCAAAAAGCTTAAAATCTCGAAACGTTATAATTGCAGTGAAGTAGGTTTTACGGTTTCTCTTCTTGTCGGAACCGTAGCTTTCGAGTCATATTTACAGAAAATCGCAGTCAGTTTAGCAGTACATCATACCAAACTGGCAAATCTTACCTCATTCCTTGAAGTGCGACTTTTCTTAAAACTTTCCATTCGGCATTCAAATCAGCAAATACAATGTCTTTATAACCATCAGTTAAACGCTCAACTTAAAATTAAAAATATATCACATTACGACCTTTGTGGGAAAGTTGTGGTGGGGATGCGTGCCAGTCAATTTTGTTTTTTCCATTGATGTCTATGAAATTCTTAGCTTTTCGAAAACAGACTGTTATATCTAAATTCATTTGAACTATAACTAACCCGATGTTCAAAACTCGTGTAAAATGGGACAACGTCCTGAACAGCTTACAGACTTTCGAGAAAGGCTGCCACATTGATTTACTTATAGGTTTCGCTATCCTACAATCCGTCAATATTTTGGAGAAAGGTTTCTACATGACACGCTTTGAATGGTTAAAACTAACGTCGTAAGAGCGGGACTTGGTAGAAAATTTGTTAGTGTAGTATCCTTGATCTTTGCTCATACGCTCGTTACTCCTTACACCTCTATTCTCGACGGGTAAGGGCTGGCCAAACTCTATCAATCCTCAAGACAAATTCGTTCAAAAATATGTTTAATCGTATAAAGAAAAAAAGCAATATTCGCTCCAGATGTTGTCACTTAATCAGACGCGTCCAGCGACTGCTTACAACGATCTTGCTACCTATAGATTAACTGAATTACTGAATAAAAGCGTGCATTTCCATATTTAAAGGTCTGGGTAACATGACATCCCATAGCGCCACCTATCGTAATAACAAGTAGGCCCTATCAATGGAAATTAAAGTCTGTACTAACCTGAGTGCATTTTGACTCTTCCAGCGAATTCGACATCTTTCTTTATCAAAGCCTCTCGTACAACTTCAGCATCGTTCAGTGTCACACATGTAACTGGACCTGACATTAATCAATAGTTTATATAGAGAAATACTGCTTGTCAAATTTCAGTAAAGAAACAGAGTGAAAATGTTCAGTCGTCTGAAGATTGCACAGGATGGAACTTTAGATACGTCATCAAACACTTAGTTTTAGAGGAATTTCAGGAACCACAGTAGACATCTATTCCAACTTCTGATAGCTATTTTGAAAGTTGCAGGCGATAACTGTCACAATATCTACCAGAGCCTGGAGTAAATGTGTCGGAGTTGTAGAACCACAATCATCCGGTTGAAAATATTAATAGTACAAATCAATGATGTCAGTGTTCCAGATACACATGAACAATGTTGAAATCCTCTTTAATCCCTTTAAAATATCTGAAGGTGGATGGGGGATTCATGTTAACCAATCTTTTAGTTCTGAAGATAAAATTACTTACCTATTTGTATTGTAACAACAGGACCATATTTCTCTTTCCATTTACAAAGCAATTGATACAATGGTCCAGATCGCATTGCTGAAAACAAATTCAAAATTCATCTTTAAACAAATCCATGCGATGTGAATCTTTTTAAGGCCATTCTTAACGATGTTTTGCACATCACAATGATGAAAAAAGCTTTAAAAGAAATATTCTTGAGCCTAAGATTAATACTCCTAGTCTTAAACTTAACAATGTATAACAATCTTGTGACGACCCAATATTGAGGTTTTGAATAATATAGTCGAGATACGTTTCCTTCACGTCAATATTTGAAAGGATCTCTGAAAAAGCATATAGATCTATAATAATGATATGATCAGATAAGCAGTTTAGATGTTGTGGAACATTAAATAGAAATGACATACTTACACCACAAGTTTCCAGCTAATGGTGGCCCCCATGGACCGGGCGGTAGTTTGTATTTCTTCCTTAAAAGTTTATAGGAAACCAGTCCTATTGTTAATCCTAGAATCAAAGCTTGACTCGTTGGTGAAAGAGGTATTTTATTCGTCAGGGTCTCGAACATGATGTCTTCTTAGATCTGCATTACAAATAACAATTGTTGTACACCCATTGCTATCAGGGGCGGGGCCAAAGGGGAGGGGGGTGTTGTTAGTGTGTACAATGTGTAGCTACAGGCCTGGAGACATGATGGACCAGGGGACGATGAGCTTAAATGTAATTTTATAAAAATGGGTATCAAATGATATGAAAGTTTTTTATCTCCCTCATTACTGGCTTCTACGACTACAGATTTGTTCACAACTCTTGACATAAATGAAAGTAGGCCTAATGTCTCCCACAAGAAATGAACTCACTTTTAACCTTAAAATAAAAACATTCTTATGAACCAGCTAGGCAACGTCTTAGAGAGGCCTGCTCATGATTAGCTTAATGAAAAGTACAGTGTGCAATGAGGGAAATTTTGTAAAGACAGCTAAATATAGACATAGATATAAACTTTCACACACAATTTGATTTGCACTTTATCAAAATACAATAAACAAAACTATAATCAGCTGTCAGCTCGTATTGACAAATATGAATGGTGAAACGTCCTTCTTTTTGCACCTAAGTGGAATAATGAAGATAGGCAACGCTCAGCAGTGTACAATGAGCGATATTTTGTTAGGACAGCAGCATTTTCTTCCACTTCTATACTGGCGAGAGATCTTTACACAGCTCGGCATTGTATACGACGATGCATGAAACCGAAATTAAATTCATAGTAAAAGATTCTTACCGTGTCAATGGCGCAAACACATCCAAAGTAGTAAGGTATATTGAACAACACTGATTCACTCGATATCCTGTTATTCTACTGACGTCTTAAAAGACTCACTGGTGGTAGAATGTAAAATAAAGTGTTTTTATCTATAAATAGCTATGACTGTTTACAAGCCATCTAATATAATGCCCGAGTAACATTACACGTGTCTGAGGTTTCACTCTAAAGCCGCGAATATTGGATGCCTGTCGGGAAAGATCTGGTGAAATTATATTTAAGGGACAGACTTGCAATCCGTTTGACCGGGGTTTTCTATCACTAATATTGTTCACAGCTCAACGTCAATATTTGAGCTTTCAAATCCATGGGTGTACAGAATTGGGCCCAAACCAACAACTAGGTTAGAAATGCGGGCAATCTCAGATATTTCGCTCCACCTCCCTCGGACGTAAACCTGGATCCGCCACTGGTCGACGGTCAGTCGAAACAAGTCGATAAAATCTTTGTATGATATATGGTCAGTTGTATAGGATCGATATTGAAAGATCATTATAGAGAGTATTTAAGTGTCATTTTATTATAAACCTGTTAAGAAAGACTTTATGCACACTAAAACTAGAGCTGGACAATGGAAATGTTTCAATTGAAGGGAGATAACCCCTTATAAAGGTATTTATCAGACAACTAAGAATGTGTAAAAGATGTTATCAGTAATGTAGCATTGTGAATGCCACTGTTCGTGATATTGAATACCGCTAGTAATAATAAGAATGGATTCAGTGTTTGTATTAAACATAGGAATTTCTGACTTTACTTGTATTGATTGTGTTATATTTTTTATCCTTAAAGGGACAGATTGGATGTTGATTTGAGTCTTGAATATATGGAAATAATCTTCAGAAGTACTAGAAATGTACGAAAATCGTATAATTCACTCAAAAACTAACAAAACTATAGGAATTTCACTTTATGTTTCTCAACGTCTCAAGAAAAGACGAAAAACTTTTAAACGCGGATAACACATGGATTTGAAGGGTCTGAGCTGTGAACATAGAAAATTTCCGTTTCCAAGATTCCGAGACTAAAATACCATTGATAAAACTTTAATATAATTTCAGCAGATCGGAAGTTTTCCCCGACAGGCACCCCAAATATCCATTGCACATAGCGTACGATGAGGGATTTTCGATATAATAGAGAATAGTAGGAGCGAATCGTGTCCGCACCGTATCCGGACCCGTACGTCGTGTGTTCACTTGTTCTACTTTCTACTGTATTCGATAATCTCGCATCGCACACAGCACCGGACACCGTACATTGTCTATTCGCGGCTTAGTGACATGAAAATCCATAAACATGTAAGGTTACTCGGGCATTGCATTAGACGGCTTGTAAACAGTCATGGCTATTTATAGATGAAAAGTTGTTTACACTCGACCACAAGTAAGGCTTTTCCTCCAGTAGTATAACAAGACATCGCGTGAAGCAGTGTCGTTCAATATCCCTTACTACTTTGGACCCTAACGCTGGTAGATATTTTGCGCCATTGACAGGGTAAGAATCTTTTGTTATGAATTTGATTTCAGTATCATGAATCGTTGTTGGGACAAAATTAAGTTCTAGTGTTCTACAGGCTGTGCACGTTAAAGATATCTCGACAGATTAGAAATCGAAAAAGAGTATGCTAATGACAAAATATCGCTCATTGCACACTACTGGACGTTGCCACTTAAGTGCCAAACAGTAGGATGTAAAACACCATTCATTTCATATTTTTCAATACGAACTGACAGCTGATAATTATAGTTTTGTTTATTGTATTTTGATAAAGTGCAGATCTAATTGTGTGTGAAAGTTTATATCTATGTCTATATTTAGCTGTCTTTACAAAATTTCCCTCATTGCACACTGTACTTTTCATTAAGCTAATCAAGAGCAGACCTCTCCAAGACGTTACCTAGCTGGTTCATAAGAATGTTTTCATTTTAAGTTTAAAAGTGAGTTCATTTATTGTGGGAAACGATAGCCTACTTTCATTTAAGTCAAGAGTTGTGAACAAATCTGTAGTCGTAGAGGAGCCAGTATGGAGGGAGATTAAAAAAAACCTTCGATCTTGAACTTATACGATCTACTTTCATATCATTTGATACCCATTTTTATAAAATTACTTCCAAGCTCATCGTCCCCTGGTCCATCATGTCTCCAGGCCTGTAGCTACACATTGTACACACTAACCACACCCCCTGAAAAACTGTGCAAATCGTGCAAACACCATACACCATTGCCTCTCTGGATATATTACTTGCCCCTCCGAACAATCAAGTCTGGCCTGCAAGTCTCAGTTACTCTATGCTCCTCCGAGACGATTTCAAAGATTGCGTAAATATTAGAGGACATAGTTTAATTAAACATGTCATGTATTTTTGATTAGATTTAATTTACCCATAACGAAATAAACTGCACTTGTTTTTGTTTGCAATTTTCCACAGATGTGCAAAGATAACAAGCTTTCTCGACTACAGCAAGTTGAAGGTCACGTTACTAATATTGACATTATAGAGTCTCAAACAGCGGTCAAGGTTATATATAAATTACTTATATAGTCAATGCTACTAATCTATACCATAACAATCTAAATAACATAGTGTATTTACCAATAGTCGAGATCAATAAGGTCACTAACCATTCTTGATGTGATATGATTGTTTCAATTAGCGCACCTTTTTCATTATTACAGATTGAAAAAAGGCGTAGTCTTAGAGAGAACGGTTTGGTTGTTTCTAGAGTGTAAATAACATTGAAATACAAAAAGTCATCTTCACCAAACCCCTTCATATACCTTGACAACAATAGGCACTTTTCTTTTATAGAAAAAGTAGAAGCGGATTAAGAAAAGTCGTCATTTAAACTTTCAAACGTAGATAAGTCTTGACGCACGAGGAGCTAAAGGCTAAAATTTTGCCGGTGAACAGTGAACACTGTAACTTAGCTAAAAAAAAATCTCCTTTCTGAGATTAAAGTATAATTGATCAAACGGATGGTGAAACCGTCCCTTCGTCAAAATGATCTCATCATCAATTGAATTTCGTTGCAGAAATGTTTATCTCTTGACAAATATAGTCATTACATGTGGAGAACGAGTCAATAACGTATAGCAATGGATACAAAATGTTTCATTTACTTTGAAAATTGTTTTTCGTAATGCAGATCTAAGAAGACATCATGTTTGAGACCCTGACGAATAAAATACCTCTTTCACCAACGAGTCAAGCTTTGATTCTAGGATTAACAATCGGACTGGTTTCCTATAAACTTTTTGGGAAGAAATACAAACTACCACCCGGTCCTTGGGGGCCACCATTAGCTGGAAACTTGTGGTGTAAGTATGTCATTTCTATTTAATGTTCCACGACATCTAAACTGCTTATCTGATCATATCATTATTATAGATCTATATGCTTTTTCAGGGATCCTTTCAATTATTGACGTGAAGGAAACGTATCTCGACTATATTATTCAAAACCTCAATATTGGGTCGTCACAAGATTGTTATACATTGTTAAGTTTAAGACTAGGAGTATTAATCTTAGGCTCAAGAATATTTCTTTTAAAGCTTTTTTCATCATTGTGATGTGCAAAACATCGTTAAGAATGGCCTTAAAAAGATTCACATCGCTTGGATTTGTTTAAAGATGAATTTTGAATTTGTTTTCAGCAATGCGATCTGGACCATTGTATCAATTGCTTTGTAAATGGAAAGAGAAATATGGTCCTGTTGTTACAATACATATAGGTAAGTAATTTTATCTTCAGAACTAAAAGATTGGTTGACATGAATCCCCCATCCACCTTCAGATATTTTAAAGGGATTGTAAAGAGGTTTTCAACATTGTTCATGTGTATCGGGGACACTGATATCATTGATTTGTTCTATTCTAATTATCAACCTGACAACTGTGGTTCTAGTCCGAAACATCAATTCCAGACTCTGATAGATATTGTGACAGTCATCGGCTGCAGTAGATGACGAATCTAAAGTTCCATCCTGTGCCATCTTCAGACGACTGATTTTTTTCAGTCTGTTTCTTTACAAGCAGTATTTCTCTATATAAACTATTGATTAATGTTAGGTCCAGTTACATGTGTGACACTGAACGATGCTGAAGTTGTACGAGAGGCTTTGATAAAGAAAGATGTCGAATTCGCTGGCAGAGTCAAAATGCACTCAGGTTAGTACAGACTTATTGGTAGATGCTGTTTTAAGTTTTGTTATTGTTTATAAACAATCTAATTAAAATAGGATTTCACTTTCGCTTCTTTTTTATTTCCTAATGTTTTCTCCATTGTAATCTAACAAGCCCTCTGCCAAAGTCCCGCTCTTATTTTAAACCAATCAAAGCGTGTCATATAGAACCCTTTCTTCAAAATATTGACGGGATAGCAAAATCTAAGTATAGATCAATGTGGCAGCCTTTCTCGAAAGACTGTAAGCTGTTCAGGACGATATCGGGTTAGTAATTGTTCAAATGAAGTTGGATATAACGGGCTGTTTTTGAAAAAGCTAAAAATTTCATTGACATCAATAGAAAAAACAAAATTGACTGGCACGCATCCCCACCCCAACTTTTAATGTCCATTCCCTCAAAGGTCGTAATGAGATATATTTTTAATTTTAAGTTGAGCGTTTAACTGATGGTTATAAAGACATTGTATTTGCTGATTTGAATGCCGAATGGAAAGTTTTAAGAAAAGTCGCACTTCAAGGAATGAGGTAAGATTTGCCAGTTTGGTATGATGTACTGCTAAACTGACTGCGAGTTTCTGTAAATATGACATCATACGCGAAGGCGTCGGTTCAGACAAGAAGAGTAGCCATAAAAACCGTTTCGCGATTTTGAGCATTTGAAAATATTTCACCGCTTTTTACATTTTGGAAACAGTATCTCAGATATGACATAATGTCTACCTAGACGACTGTTAGAGGAAAACATTGCAAATAGCTGCAGAGGATGATTCAATAAATACGAATTTCTCAAATCACTAGATTTTCTTATAATAAACGCTAATAATATTGTCTAATATTCATAAATCTTTAGGCTTTGGTCAATTTCTCTTTCAGATACTTTGCCAGTGGTGAAAAACTTGGGGAAAAACTCTATGATGCTGGATCTCAAATGATTAAAATAATCAGAGAAAAAGAAGGAGAAAAATTGGACATGGAGAAATACATCAGTCTTCTTATATTCAATTTTTTACATGGAATCTGCTTTCTTAGATTTGTGTGAAGGAAACAAAAGATTTCTTTTGTCGTTGGTTCTTTTTTGGGACCTAAGATCATTTTGATGGTTTTATCATTGAACCATATTATACTAGACCCAATTTGGAATTTGGTGAACTAGCAGGAGATGGTCTCAGTGCACACCTGTCCTCAAGCAGAAACGAGTGCAAGGAACCAATGCGCATGCCCGGAAGTGTATTATTTACACTGTTTGATGCTGAAGTGTATGATAATTCAATTGTTATAATATAATTAGTTCGAACATTAGCGATCGGCCTTTTAATTTCTTTGAATATTCGATTCTTTCTTTAATACATCATCACAATATTGAGTGATTATTTTCAGTTTTGATGTGGATGATAAGGAATTCTTGTACATGTTGGAAATGTTTAATGTTGTAAATGAAGAATTTGGAAATGGGGTTTGGGAAGACGTTATACCACTTCTTAAACATTGGCCAACAAAAAGGTTTCAAAGAATAATGCATGGATTAGACTATTTTAATGGATTTATCAAAAAAGAGTACGAAGATCACAAGAAAACATTTTCTAAAGGTAAAAATTGAAAGTGAATCTCCATACACTCGAATAGCAGAGCTGAATTTCTGTAAAGCCACAATGACACTGACACTATTTCAGTCCGATGATTAGGGGAGGGGGGGGAGGGGTTGCTGCAGGGGAGTGTGCCGTGTTGTTGAGAGTATTTTAACGTTTTCAAAATTTTACCGCATAAATTTTCGTACAATGTGCGTGTAACTCGGGTGAACACTGTCGACGATTTATGTCGTCGTTAACAGTATGCAAACAATAACCCGCGTTATTATGTTTTAATGCAGCAAATGTGTGCGAATCACCGAAATGGCGCGCCTTTACCACGTCCAATTACGCGGTATTGCATGGACAAAAGTTTACATAATGTGTATTTAACACGCACTATTGACGTTGCTTGCGTGCTGAAGTCCTTTGGCTCATCAATGCAATTTATCAAGACAGTGAACTTTCAGGAAGACAAAAAGAGAAACTAAGTTAAGGTTGGTTCCCGCTAGATGTGATATTGGCTTCATTCACAGAATTGTTGATTATTTTTCAGACGACATAAAAGATTTTACAGATTTTCTGATCAATGCTAGAAATGAAGCAATAGCTGAAGACCCAGCTGTAGAACAGATGATAACAGACATTCATGTTGCTCAGGTCATTAGTGACATCTTTTCAGGTAGTCCGATTCTCTAGCAATTCTTACCTTACTAGTCAGAATTACTTTTATTAGTCAGATTTAAATATGTTGGCAGGAAAATACCTCAATATCTCCAAAGGACTCTACTACAAAAATCATTTCAGGATAGAACAACAAATCTCTTTCACAAATATTTTTGCACTCCTATACCACAAATATTTTTGTACAACTGTACCACAAATGTTTGTGTACGACATACACCCCAAATATCTTTACTCGACTATACAACAAATATCTTTATTTGACCATAACACAAATACCAACCACTCGATTATACCTCAAATATCTTGATTGGACTATTTCAGAGAACGTGTTTGCTTGACTATACCACAAATGTCCTTACTTGATCAAAACACAAATATCTTTACTCGGCTATACTACAAATATCTTCACTTGACTATTTCACAAACATATTTGCTTGACTATACCACAAATATCTTGATCATAACACGAATATCTTTACTCGACTATAGGCTACCTCAAATAACTTGACTCGACTATTTCACAAACACGTTTGCTTGACTATACCACAAATATCTTTACTTGATCATAACACAAATATCTTTATTCGATTATAGGCTACCTCAAATATCTTGACATGACTATTTCACAAACATGTTTGCTCGAATGTGCAACAAATGATTCAGCTTCATCATGCTTGTAAAGAAGAATATGTTTGAAATTATATCTTATTTTTTTTAGCCGGTGTTGATACCACAAGACAGACTTTAACTTGGACCATCTTTTTACTGGTTCAACATCCTGAAATCCAGAAAAAGGCACAAGAAGAAATCGATCAAGTTCTAGGTATGTAGGCTAACCATGATCCACAGGCCGTGTCACCAGGAATCTATTTTTGTACTTTTTCTTTACACATAAATGCCAGTATCATTCAAGACTGAACCCTTTTTATCTTGTATACAAGTATTACGTCAATAATGATATTGTTCTTCTGAATCTATTGAATTTAGGATAAAAAGACGTACTTCCGTGTATAACCGCAGTACACTGTAAAAAAAGTCCGTTTTTTTTACAGAAATTTACTTGACATTTTCTGTTGATATACGTAAATTTCTGCTGATATACATACTTTTCTGTTGATTTACGGACTTTGTTCTTACATTAACAGAATGTTAGTTCCGCAATAAGGAAATATGTTATTTTACGTAAATTAATCTTGGTCGTATGTCATTTAAGAACAATTACGTTA